ACCCTGCTGGGGAATTTCTCCCCAAAATCCCATCTGAACCTCCCCTCCTCCTTCGCTTGCCAGTCACCCCCTGCTCCTGTGAAAAGCCTCCCCAGCCTTCTCACAGCCCCTTCAGGTTAAAGGAAGGGGCTCCAAAATCTCCCCAGAGCTTTCTCTTCTCTCTGAGCAACCTCAACTCGCTCGAAATAGAAGCCAGCAAACTTTGAAATGGCTCTCAAGTTGCAAGATAATTTGTATTCCCCTCTCTTCATACCAACACATTAACCAAATACATTATTTCCATAATGAGGAGATGAACATCTGTGTGGCTTCCCAAAATTTCAAGTGGCAATACTCGAGACAAGTATTCCCTCTTTGGGACTGACACATCAGCATTTCAAATAACTGCCACCACTAAAAATATCATTTAAATCCCAAGGAGGTCAAAGGCAGTTCAGGTTGGTTTAGGACCAATTTGACTCCACCAAATCCAATCGCTGCAGTGTTGTACTGAGGGACAGGCAGGAAGGGCTGTGGGCAGCACATCACTCCCAGGGAATATTCCAGGGAAAAATGAACCCTGAGCTCCCTCCCTTTGCCACTCAGGGGCTGAGGGTAAAACACTTCCAAGCCCTAAACAAGGAGGGAATTTCAGTCTCAGTTTTGCTCAAGTCACCGCTCTTCCATTGTTTTTTCCAAAGTTCATACCACTCAAATGAGAAAGAGGCAAAGCAGCTCTTGTTGGAAATGAAAACAAACCAGGATTCACATCTCTTTGGAAGACAAACAACTGAAAGTCCCAGGGACAGTTTTGCTGCTTTGCAGCGCTTGCAGTTTTTAATTTTTAAAATATATATATTATTATATATATTTTATAAATATATATTATTATATATATTTAATAAATATATATCCCTGTGCTGGATTTGAGCTGTCCCTCAACCTCCTTGCCCAGAGCTTCACAAAGTCCAGCCTCAGCCCCATCCCCAGCCTCTGGAACTGAACCATTAATCTGAAACCTGTTTGAATCCCACTGTTCAGCTGCATCAGTTCTGAGCTCAGCCAGCAAAGACTGCTTCTCTCCACAGCAGCAAAACTTTCGCCAGACTCTGTAAATAATTCAGATGAGATCTCTGTGCTGTGCTCTGTGTTTCTCCCGCAGCTGCTGCCCTGCTTGGGTCCCTCCCTGGGAGCAGGCAGAGCACACAGCTCTGAGGAAGGGCAGGGAGAGGCAGGAATTCCCAGAGCTCTGCTGGGCCTGACGCTGCCTGCAGGAGCTGCCCACCCCAAAAAGCTGCACAGCACCCGGAGAGGGACCAGGGGCAGGGAGAGGGGAGCACACCCCTCACAGCTGAGGTAAAGAGAAAAACGATTTCTGGCACTCAGGATGAGGCATGGGGATCTCCTCTGGTATCAGGAGGACCCAGCACAGAGCAAGGAGCAGGGCACAGCACAAAAAAACAAATAAACAAATAAATACATGCAATCCCCTCTTTTTCCTCTGGAAGCCTCTCCAAGCCTTTCGGGCTCCCTGTACCTGGCTGGGCTGGACTGGAGCGTGTTCCCCACTTGCCAAGCAGTGATTCCTCTTTCATGTGCACTTCTCTGGCTCACTGTCTACTGCAATTATGCAAATAAAATGCAACTTTATCCTTTCAGCATAATTACATCAAACACAATCAGGCTATATTAAGACTGACTTAAGAGGAATGAATTCAGTTCATCTAATGATTTCCTAAATCCCCCCCATGGGACTGTGGCAAAGAAAATTCTGTCCCAAGAGTGACACCAAGTACCAAGACAAATAACTGTGGATGTGGGGCCTGATCCTACAAAAAGCCAAACCCTTCAGGCCCCCTCTGGAGCCACAGGCTGCTGGGATACCCCCACTGCCAGAAAAGCAGGAACATCAGCTGCTGCCTGTGTGCAGAGGTGGAAAACCACAGCACACCTGCACTTCACACCTGTATTTCCACCTGAAGTCATGGCTGGGGGTGGAGAATAATTTGAAAAACGCCTTTTTTTTTCCTCCGTACAATGAGTGTTTCAGCTTATGAGCCGTGTGAGCAGCAGCCCTGCAGACAAACCCTGCTAACCCAAAGTGTGCCATGCACCCCTGAGCTCACAGGCACTGCCACCTCCAGTGCAGCTGAAGGTTCCCTGGCTGATTAGCCAAAGCTGGCTGATTAGCCAAACCTCCCTGGCTGATTAGCCAAAGCTGGCTGGTTAGCCAAACCTCCCAGGCTGATTAGCCAAACCTCCCTGGCTGATTAGCCAAAGCTGGCTGATTAGCCAAAGCTGACTGATTAGCCAAAGCTGACTGATTAGCCAAACCTCCCTGGCTGATTAGCCAAAGCTGGCTGATTAGCCAAACCTGACTGATTAGCCAAACCTGACTGATTAGCCAAAGCTCCCTGGCTGATCAGCCATTATTCCCTTCACAGGGCACAGGCAGTTCAGCATCCAGGTGCAGGCACGGAGCTGCAGAACTCTCTCTGCCTGAGTGAGGCTTTCTGAGGAACCTCCTTCCAACACGTCCCAAACGCCTCGTGGGACAGCCATGAAAGGAGAGGGGAACAAAGACGAGAGGCTTTTGGGGACTAAAACAAGGGCAGCCCCTCATTCCTGACTCTGGCACAGAGTTCTCACCAAATGCAGAGGGAATTGGGCTGTGGTCCTGCCCTGGAGCCCCGGGATGCTGCATGGGAAGGAGCTCAGCTCCAGCCTGCTCCTGCAGCTTGGTCCTTCTGTTGGCAGGGACACACAAGCTGCTTTATTTCTTCTATTTCGTGCCCTCACCTGAAGCAGTGCGTTGCTGAAGTTTAGGTGTTCCTTTCTGGATGATGAAAGGATGACACTGAAATGTCCAATTCCTTCCTCTGGCTCTCATGGCCAAACGAAGCTCAGAGAACAGAAAGGAAAGCAGAGCAGCCCCAGCAGCCTGGGCAGGGGGAAGGCAGCACCCAGGGGCATCAGGGCCTCCCTGGGCATGGAAACACCAAAGCCTGGGGGCTCCTGACATCCCCTGGCTGTCGTGGGCATGGCACAGTCATGGGATCAGCCCCACAGGGGAACCCCAGCTGCTCTGGGTGCTTCTCCACTGAAAGAGGAGATCTTTGCAGGCTCAATAAACACAATTCTTTTTGCAGGTACAGCAAGCACATGGATATTCATACTCTAATTTGACTGACTTTCTACACCTGAACTCTCCCACTCTGCCATCCTCACTCATTGCATCCAAAAGCCCCTCATGCTTCCCATGAGGGGCTTAATGTGCAACATAAAAGGAAAATCTTTTAAAACAAACAAACGTGGGAAGTTTTTGTTTCTGTGTACTGTTGACAGAATTTTTGTTTCTGTGTCAGAAACCCTCAGGGATGAATACAGGCAGAGTGAAAAGCTTATTAAAATATCCTGCTTTTCAGAAACAAACCACTTCATTGTCTGTCAACTTTCTGTATTTACGGAGAAATAACATCCAAGAGTACCTTGGGGGGCTAAAAATGTAAAAGAATGAAGCAGATGATCTACCTGAGAGGAATAACTGATGAGCAGGGAGTGCAGGCACAGGAAAAATGCAAATATGTGGTTTTCCAGGGAGTGAAGACACCAGAACCCATTTCATTGTGTTAGAGGACTGGGCCAGCAGAGGAGTTGGGTTTCTCTGCTCAGTGCCTCCCCTGGAAACAGCTTTTCCCCATGGTCAGAGAACACAGACCCTGACCAACCTCTGTGCCCAGAGGATGCTGAAGCATCTTTACCCACAACAGCATTAACAAACTGAGGTGAGATCAGACAACAAACACTTGAGAGCATAAAGGGAAGTTGAGAAAGAAACAAAACATTCATTCAGCAAAACAAGTTTCCCTAAATTCACCATGCACACACATCTGTACAGGCGTGGCTATTTCTGAAGCACACGAGCAATATGGATGAATACAGAGCTTGGTCTGAAATAAAAGTTAAGCTAAGTTTAAATGGAAACCACTGATTGAAAAGTGAAGTTTTAGTCCTTGAGCAGAAAACTTCTCCTCGCCTTCAGAGAGGAGACCCGAATTGCCCAAGAAGCTCCCTGTGCTGTGTGCACGTGAGAGGCTCAGATCAGCTGGGCTTTTCTTTCCAGGGATAAAGCCCTGTCACACCCCCCCCGAGCTCTGAAACTGGGGCTGACGAGCAGCTGCTGGCAGCTCCTTCCCTTCAGAGCCCAGCACATCCCTGTGCCTGCCCTGGCTGGCTCCAGACCCTGGCACAACGTCACAAACACCTGTGGCTTCAATTCTAACCTGTGCAAAAAGCTGCCATCTCTGTGTGAAGAATTACAAACCACAAGGGTTTGAGCAGTGTGGTAGTTGAATTAACACAGGGTGAAAAAGTAGAATTTTGGGGGGTTTTAGAATGGGGTACAAGGGGCCAAGATGGATTTGGGTGTGTCCTGACCTTCTCCTCCTCCTTGCCCTCCCTGCCTTGCTGTGCTGGTGACACTTTTCTGTAGGTTTAAGGCACAGACACACTGCCCAACAGAAATGACAGATATTGGCACGTTATTGCAAACATGGCCCAGGCAGTTTTTGGTATAAAATGCAAACACCCCCTGAGGACAGACAGAATGCCATGGCCGAGCTGCTGGCCAGAGCTCAGCAGGGCAGAGAATGTTCTGGAGAAGGGAAAATAAACAGCCTTGAGAAGCTGATCCTGCACACTCAGACTGCTCCTCTGGCTGCAGGGCTGGGAGAAGGAGGATTTCACACTCCTGGGGTCATCCCAACACCCAGACCCCGAGACTTCCAAAGCTGGGAATCAGCCTCGAGTTTCCACGTGAGGACATTCAGGGAGGAATTCAGGGAGAATTCAGGGAGGACATTAATGGAGGAATTCAGGGAGGAATCAGGCATTCCAAGGGCCTGGCACTGTGTGTGCCCAGCGGGGCATCCCCAGAGCCTCGGGAGGACAGGCAGGGACAGGGGCAGGGACAGGGGCAGGCAGGAACAGGGGCAGGAGAAGGGACAGGGACAGGCTCTTACCCTCGATGGTGGCTCTCTTGGGCAGGATGGTGATGGCTCCCTCGGCCACGTCCTCCTGCTGCAGCAGCGGGCTCACCTTGGAGCCCCAGGTGTCGGAGCCCACCCAGAGGAAATGTCCCACCTGATCCGCCCTCTTGGCGGCCGCCAGGACCTGCCTGTGGACAGGAACGTTCCGTGTTCAGCGGGATCTCCCCAGACGTGGGGCTGCCCTAGGGAATGGGGGTGGGAACAGCAGCATGGCTCAGAGGGTCTTCCCACCCCGCCGAGGCTGTGATGAGGAGGAAGAGCACATTCCTGAGCCCAGCAGAGCCCAGGGGCTGGGACACTGCACCAGCAGGGCAGCCTGGGCCAGGGAAGGATGGAGCTGGATGATCTCCAAAGGTCCTTCCCAACCCAAACCATCCAATGAACCATGCCTCACCAATGGGACTTCTCTTCAAATTCACCCCATATCCCATGGCTGAGTTATTGATTCCACTAAAACTCAAGAGTTTTTCCACTGACTTTACTGAAACTTTCCCCTAAATTCTTTTTGTCTTGTTTTGTGGGACCAGGCCACTCAGCAACTGATGATTCCATCACAATTGTAAACTAATTTCAAATTCTGGACCCAGAATACGCAAGTGAGCAATGAAATATAAAATATTCTTTGTGTTATTTTACGAGCCCATTCCATGTGGTTTAACCTTGAGCATCCAAGTCACTTCATCACTGTTAACTTTCACTTGCCGTAAAATAGACTGAATTAATGAATTACACCAAGCAGAAAGAGCCTGGAGAGGGGAGGCGTGTTTGTAACTCCTCTGAGAGGAAAGGTCAGCTCTGCCACCCAACACGAGCCACCCCACGGCAGGAAAACTCCCAGGTTCCTGTCCCCATTCCCCAGCACCCTGAGGCAGGCAGCAGCAGCCTCGTGCCCGGTGCCTGCCCGTGCTCCCAGCCCCACACACCCCGTGTGGCTCCAGCACTGCCCCTCCCTGGCTCTCCTCTGGCAGCACCCATACCTGATGTCCTCGTCGTTGGCGAAGATGACGACGGCCCTGGCGTTGGGAGTCTCCAGCAGCTGCCGGATGATCCTGTCGAAGTCGATGCTCTTGTCCTTGCGCTCCTGGGGGATCTTCAGGGACTGGGCGATGCAGAGCCCACCTGTGCCACGGAGCAGAGCACAAAGGGACCTTCAGGGGAGGCCAGGGAGACGCGGAGAGCCCGGCAAAGGCGTGGGGAGGAACTCCCACGGATCTCTGCTCCTCCAGCTCTCCACATCCTGAGGGATCCCTGCAATTCCTGCTCTGACAGCACAGCCTGCACGGCTGGGAGGGTCAGGGATCACACAGACTGTGCCCAACCCACTGCAGAACAGCAAAATAAGCAAAGAAATGGGCAGGGGAAGGATGAAAAGGAGAGGAATTAAAACAGGACACAAGAGCAACCTGAGCAAGCCTAAAGTGATGGATAAACCCCAAAACAACAGGCTGAGAGGCAGAAGGTACTGACAGTGTACTGGGCAGGTTGAGCTCAGTGAAGGGATGAGATCCTTTTTGATTTTGCAGCTTGAGGGCTCCTGGGAGAACATGCTTGCACTGGAATGATTTACCTGGAGCAGGAACAGCCCAAGCTGAGATACGGGCAAAACCCACGCTGTGCAAGAAAAGCCCTGAGCATTCCAGTGCCCACCCCCAAACAGGATGGAGAGACAGCAACAGTGAGACCTCCGGCAAAGTCTGTGAAAGGGGCTGCTCATAAACACCCAGAGAACACAGCAACGAGCATCAGCACAGCACAGGTGCCTACAGCCAGACCAAAACCCACCCGCTTGTAGCACAGCTCCCGTTCTACAGCTGTCTAGTCTGTTAAAAAAAGGCAATTTAAAAAAATCCCAACTCCACTGACATTCTGGTTGTTGCTGGCAGATGAAAACACAACTTTTGCCTTAATTATTTTGTTTCTCAGTAGCAATCGCTTTCATCTTTTACGGCATCTTTGATACCAACCTGCTCACCATAGTGCACAGTGCGTTAATTAATAACGTATCAGAGCTCCTCATAAAAACCAGCAGTGGGGATGAGTTAATTAAAAGGCAGCAAGGACAAGGGAGAGATTCACAGATAGGCTTTAAAACCCAGATTTAAAAGTCCTGGTAATTGAAGCACTGGAGAAGCTGTTGGAGGGTGAAGGACCTGGAGGAGGAGGAGGCTGAAGCCCCGGAGCATCCTCCTCATCCCAGGGCAAAGCAAACCTGGGACAGCTGGGAACACCAAAGTCCTGCAGGAAATGGTGAAATGCAGCTCCTGTGCCTGTCCCCGAGCCCTCCCAAAGCAGGTCAGCCTCGCTTTGCCTGGGTTTTGGTTTTTGGCAGAGAGGAGCTGAGCTGCAGCTGCCTGAAGGCAGAGGAGCTCTGCTGGGCTGGCTGCTCCAACAGCTCAGGAGAAAAAACCATGGTTTCAAAGGGGAGAAATGGAACACTGAACAGGAAAGGCTGGAGGAGAATAAAGGAGAATAATAACCCCCAAGTTTTTCTCTGGCTCACATAAAACATTTCATTTTGTTTTGCAATTATCACAACCTGGACTTTCTGCAACCTTTTTTTTTTTCCCCTTTAAAAGCAAACACTACTGAGTTTTAAAAATAAACTTCATTTTAAATGAAGATTGAAAGTCTCAGTGCCAGCGAGTTCAGAAATCTAACAGTTTTATATGTTCTATTTTCCCCAGTCAGAATTAGACAGAATGAACCCAAGGCCACGAGTTCTCCAGCTCTCCCGAAATGTCCCACTTGGCAGGGATCCCACAGGCAGTGGGAGAGCTTTCCCAAAGGAAGCAGATGCCACGGTGCCCTGCTAGCCTTGGCACCACCTCTGCTCAGAGGAACGAAGGCTAAATGGCAAGGAGGAATTACAGAAATGGCAAACATCAGCGTGCCCTCTGTCAGCCCTGGGCAAGCAGAGCGCCCGGGGAATTGGGTGCCTGCTGTCCAAAAGGCACCGTGGAATAAATTCAGCTTTCATATCCTCATCCCACATCCCAGCACAACAGGAAACGTGTGCACAGTTATTGACTCTGTCAGGTTCATTCACAGCCCTTCCAGGGAAAAACCTCCGAGGGAATCAGGTGGTAAAGCACGAAAGCTGCAAATTCAGGATCTTGTCACAGGATTCCTGCAGTAATTCATTCCCCCGTGCCCTGGAGAAGTGACAAATGCTGCAGGCAGCACAAAGAGCCTGGGAGCAAAGACCCGGGATGAGCAGGGGCTGCTGAGAGATGCCCAGAGCAGCCGGGGCTGCCCCGGACCCTGGCAGTGCCCAGGGCCAGCCTGGCCAGGGCTGGAGCAGCTGGGGCAGTGGGAGGTGTCCCACCACGCGGGAAGTGTGGGACAGGGAGATCCTTCAGGTGCCCCCCAACCCAAAGCTCTGCGGATGGGATTTGTGGGTGCCACAGCACGAACCAGCCCAGAGGCTCGGGCTGCTGGGATCAAGGGTCTGTCCT